AGGGGTAGGCAACTCCAGGCCTCAAGTGCGGGTGTCCTGCAGGTTTTAGACATCACCCTGTGTCAACACACCTGAATCAAATCATTAGTTCATTCCCAGGCCTCTGGAGAACTTCAAGACATGTTGAGGAGGTAATTTAGCCATTTGAATCAGCTGTGTTGGATCAAGGACACGTCTAAAACCTGCAGGACACCGGCACTCGAGGTCTGGAGTTGCCTACCCCTGTTTTATGCTTTATCATTCACTTCATGGGTATTCACCTATGGATGGGGGTTTTCAACCATGGAGGTGCAGTCCCCCAGAAGCCCAGCAACACATAGCTGTGGGTGACATGCTTCTCTCATTCCATTTCTAGAAAAAGCTTGAAAAATCATTAAAGTTTAAACAATACAGTATGAAAAGCACAGAAAGTTGCTGTAGTGGATCCTTTTTTTTTTTTTTTAAACAATGGTTTCACTTCAAGCCTTTGTATGTTATAACTGCTTTTTTCCATGCAAGAGTTGTCCACACACCAGCTGTATCACATACTTTGGACACTACCTCAATCTGACAACAGATGCGCTCTGCAGGTAGATGGGCTGTCTCTAGCTCTCTACAGTCTGCCAGTGTATTGCACTTGAGCCCAAAATGAGTCTTTGAATTTCCGCAAAGACTGACTGAGGACGAACAGATTTGTGATTGTTGTTGATTTTTCACAGCTAATTGCTGTATTGTCACAGACAGATTGCACATAATTGTCAACTTGACCATATTCAGTAACAAACTTATAACAGGGTGATTCTTATTGCTGTTGTATCTCTGTCTTAAAATGCACCAACAAGATGGCAACTGAATGTGATTGGTCATAAACCTGGTCGCCATCTTCAAAGCAACCTTTTCAAAGGCAACGAGATCACATGCTCATTCCATACAGGCAACCACCATATTCTCTTGTGTGACTGGAGGATAATCTGGTCCTCCCAATGACAGTAGACTTTGCTACATTCAAGGACAGGAAACACAGATTGAGGATGAAGTCATATGCTGACAAACCGCAACATTTATTAATGTTTCAGATTTTTATTGTGAATTTTTCTTTTCTTTATGTTGTATTTCTTGATGAAATTAAAATGTTTTTACATTTGTTTTACTTCTGACAGACTGCCTCATTGTAAACCAATAGAATTGCTTATCTATGCAAAAATATTAAATAAATAAAATTTTATGCAAAATCTTATTTAATGTAATATCCTAATATTCCATGAAACTGCCAGAACTGTAAAAAATTCAGTGACAAGTTTTTAGGTGCACAGGCACTGCTGGTACATAAATGTTGATGCTTGTTATAAACTGACTTTTCAGTCCCTCTAATATGTATAGATCTCTTTATTTCCAAACAGATAACTGCTTACATGCACAAATCCAGTGATGAAAACACTCGTATACACTTCCTTCTGGTCTTGGATATATTTTTAAGATCCAAGAGGCCTGCTCTCATCCATGAATTATGTTGTCTCGTCTTCATTCTCTGTCTTCTGTTATGTTTCAGCCTCCAAGGACATTGACAGACCTGTTGGAACAGACACTGACTTTGTCATCAAACTGGTGAGTACATATGTTGCACGCACAGCTGACCTGTCCACCTTCAGGGACACGTTAATGCTGTGATACTTGAATGTGGCTGCACTATGCTGCTGGCAGTAGAAAGCAGGTGTAACTGTGGTTATTGATATTAAATGACTAGACTGTTATACAGCAAAATTACGTTTCCTCTTTTTTTCATTTTCTATTTCACCAAATATCACCTGACTTTCTCACATGGAAGCACATGGACCAAAAATAAACATGAGAGCAAAGTGCAACCAGAGTCAGTGTGATGATTCCTCCAACTTTGCTCAGGAAATAATGTTTAGTGTTAACAGAATGGCCTTTGATGGAATCTTCTTGCTTGGAAGTTGTCATTTCTTGACGTGCGCCTTTTTGTGCCAGTTATTGGACTATAGTGAAGGGAACAAAACTTTGATGACAGCATCCCTTCAATAAAGATGCTAAAATAATGCACAGGCCATAAGCCACATTCTTTGTTTACTTGCAAGCAGAAATGCTTTGGACTTGAATTAGTGTCTTCAGCCTAAAACACAAGGCTGAAAACAAAAGGCGACAAAGCTTTTGTAACTGTGGCCCCCAGATTGTGGAACTCTCTCCCTTTGAGCCTGAGATCTGTGGACTCTGTGGTCGCTTTAAAAAAAACAGCTAAAAGCTCATCTTTTTAAACTTGCTTTTGGTTGATTTTTATTTTTAGGTTTTAGCTTCTGTGGAGCACTTTGTGATTTTTATCTTGAAAGTTTCTATATAAATAAAATTTTACTTACTTTACTTACTAGTGTCCCCAAGATGCTCTGAAACGGGAATCAGAGATGTCTAATTAATGCCTGTTTGTCTATGTGCCATACAGAAAAAGTGCACAGTAAATTCAATTGAATCCCAACCAAAGTCAGAGCTTAAATATTGACACATTTTGGTTTTAAAAGGGCTTATGTCCTGGACTGTGTCTTGGCTGGGAGCAGTAACTTCCTGAAATCTCTGCTGGTTGCATTGCAAACTCTCAACGACACCAACAGTTTAGGAGGTGTGTGTGCTTCCAGTTAGGAAACAGTCAATCACAAATACTAGTTTTTACTGTTTCTTTATTTTCATCTGATCACCTTTCACCTGGATGATAAGGTTCTGTCCGTACACCTCATGTTACATGGCTCTACTTCTTCTGCCATTTCGTCAGGGTCTGACTCTGGGTTCTGAACCAGTCCTATACATGCTAAATTTTCTTGCTGCTTCCTGATGTTCCAGTGAAATAAATGGGAAGAAGAAAATATTGTTTGATGTTTTACTGTCAGCTGTTTAATTTGAGATATAGCAATAACTAATCCCTCTCTTAAGCAAGCTCAATAAGTCAATCAATCAGTAGTCAATTAATTATTATGCTGTGATACTAAATTAAGCTAATGCTATTATTCTAATTATATTTGTCAGCTAGCAGTGTTATTGTATGTGTAACTGTGTGAAGTAGTTCTAAAAGATCTTATCAGTGACAATTGCAGTTAACATAAGTTTGGGCATGGACTTGAGCTAAAAAAAAGAAAGCATTTAGTGTTGCACGGGGCTGTTCACATGGGTTCATGAGACTAAAGTTAGACAACATTCATGTGTCATCCAGGTGTTTTTATGATTTCTCCTGATACATAAGGAATAATAACATAAACAACCAGGAAACAAAGCATTGAAACAGGCATGTAAGTGACATGATGCTCACTGGCCGAGACACAAATCTTTTTCACAATTTTACCTTTTGGAATTAGACACAGACAATTAACTTTTGCATGGTCACTGGTTAAAGCTGCACTGTGCTAATACTGTGTGCTCATACATGCAGGAGTACCAGGAGAATGGCTCCCTGTTCTCGGAGCTCAAGTTCTACCAGAGGGCAGCCAAACCCGAGAGCAGTGAGTAGCACCACCCGTCCAGTGTCCCGGCAGCTCGCTGGAGCACGAGAGCGTTTGACTGATGAAGTGGCTGCAGACTCAGAGGCTTTGCTGAGTGCTGCTCAGTAATTAATAATAAGCCAAAGCAAACATGCACCTCAGTGGCAGTTGGGCCCCACTCTCTGTGCTTGTCTGAGCTCTCCAACGCCTTCGTTTGGAGAGGAAGCTACTCACACGTAATGATGCCCGGGCCTCCACTGAGCCCCTGACCACCTGCCAGCCTGGTTGAGAGCCAGTCAGGCCAGCCGCCATCAAGCCCTGAGCCAGGCCCACTGCTTTGTCTGGGGCCTGTGTGTGTGTGTATTTGTAGTCCCAATAAGATTGATATTTGTATGCACACGTTCTTACACTTACAAGGACAAATCTTTTTTTCTTTTTTGGCAAAACATTTGTCTACTTTTCATAGAGCTCAGTTTCTGTTTAGTTTTTTTGTTCAGACACAATAGCTCCATGTTTGCACCTTGTGTACATGCATACCTGTGATTGTTCCTAAACTTGTTCCAGTGCAAAAATGGAAGAGAAACAAGAAGCTGGACTTCCTGGGCATCCCGACGTACTGGGGGTCAGGACTTGCAGAGTATAATAAACTCAGGTATTGACACAGTCAACACTAATAGGTTTGATTAACTCATAGGTTGCTATGATTGTTTTTTTTTTGCAGCCACCAAATTTTAAGCAAAGAGAAAATAACTTGAACAATGCTGTGTTTAGATTCATAAATGTAAAAAAAAAAAAAAGCAGGAAGAAAGAGCAGCGTGTTTCTAATGTCATTGAAATCTAATAATGTAGACGTGAACAGCAGCTGTCCTAACTGGAATGAGTGTAGTATTTTATAGAAATTGACACATTTGGTATTATTTTATATTTTCCTTAAACAAACAAATAAATAAATAAATATAGATATATAGATATATATAGAGATGGATAGAGATTTATATATATATATATAGATAGATATATATAGATATAGAGAGAGATATATAGAGATATTTAATTTTGTTTAAGGAAAACATATAAAATAATACCAAATGTGTCAATGATCTGGTTTCATAACCGAATGTAAAATAACAACTATATATATATGATATTTTTCATTCGGTTATGAAACCAGATCAGGTCTTCGTGTCAGTTTTGAAGCTATTTTTTCTCTCTCTGCCTTTCCATGCATCTATTCATGATGTGTGCACTGTCTACATGAAGCTAATTAGAGACGTATATTGACATTGATATAGTATTATTAACACATATTAATAACTTATAAAAAAGATTAATTGCCTCTTGACTTAATGCTTATTACAAGAACCATAATATAAAGCATAACTGAAAAAGAAGTTATTTTCACTGCATATGGCTGTATTTTAGCCTTAATCTAACCAGAAGATGCATCAAAACACAAACGGAGCATGTTTCTTTGACTGCAGCAAAAAAATATTCATTTTTTTCATCATTTAGCTCCATGAAGTTTGCTCTACAGTAGACTCTTTGGGCAGAACTTAAAAATGAAATGGTGTGTTCAGGGTAAAATATTTGGAACGTAAAGGAAAGGACCTTTGGGGTTTTTGAAACCAGTCCAAGCTGGCTTTTGTTTGTGTTATGCACATGAGTAAAATGGACATCAGTGTTTATTTGTGCTGTCATATATCAAGTAAATTGTATGCACCAGTGTGAAATCCACATGTATAACAACCAAAGTTTAAAATAACAAACAAAATCAAGCAGGTAAACTGATTTTAAGGAGGAGGTTGCGTGTGCTTTCTTAAAAGCTCTGTTATCTGCTTTAATATCAGATTTCAACCATCTAGCCTTAGAATTAAGGCAACTATAGTAATTATTTCCAATAGAATATCTGCTTTTAGTCAAAATGTGTTGGGTTTTTTTTTTTTTTACATCACTGTCAGTATTAGATTTTTTCTGTTGTTTTCTCTGATTTTTTTTTTATTTGATTTTTCATCTTTGTTTGCTATATTATGACTCTTGTTTGTGAATCTTATGAAAAACATCAGTTTTTTGGCATTTTGTTCAACTGTTTTGGTAAATAAAACATCCTGTCATAGTCTTTCATACAAAGTACAGTTTCGGTGTGGGTCGTTAGTAAATCTGGTGTTGTGTTATGTCAGAATTAGGACAAGAGTTTGAGCTTTTCTTCTCTCACTCAGGTATCGTTTTATGGTCATGGATCGACTGGGAAGTGACCTTCAGAAAGCTTGTGAGTCCAGTGGAGGCCGACTGAAGAAGACCACTGTTCTCCAGCTTGGACAGAGACTGGTGAGATAATTATCATATTTTGACCTGTTCAATAATACCAGTATAAATAAGCTGAGGCAGCCTGATCGCCTATCAATGACACAGTTAAAGGCCAGTTTGACAAATTATGACCCCATTTTACCAAAACGTTCGTTTTACTGCATTACTGTCTGCCTATGAAATTCTTGTTTTGTATGCTTTTGATTCTTGTGCCAGGTGGATATACTGGAGTACATACATGAGAATGAGTACGTCCATGCTGACATTAAAGCTGCCAACCTCATGCTGGGTTACAGGGACCCTGAACAGGTCAGTGCACTGCAGATCCCTGGTACAGTTACAGGAGAGATTAAAAGCCGCTGATTTTCTTTAAACTGCATTTATTTTAAATATAACCCAAAACATCTCAGTTTCATTAAAGTTATAAAAAAGATGTAGAGGATTCAGTTAAACAATTTTATCTAGCAGAAGGCAACATTGCAGACATTGACGACAGATACAAGTACCTGGGAATCCCATAGGCAAATGGGAACCACGAAGAGGCCGCTAGGAAAGCGGGAGGAAGGAGGCCAAGGGCTAGTGTGTGTCAGTACCACAGTGAGACAACGAACATCCACGAGTACATAAGGAAGATGGCCACAACTGGCTGCATGCTCAGTGAATACCTCAGGTAGCAGAACCTCAAGAAAGAGGAGCAGAAGAGGAACAATCATGGAAGGACAGGCCGCTGTACGGTATGTACCACCGACAGATAGAGGAAGTGGCTGATATCCAGAAATCCACCAGTGGCTGGACAAAGCTGGACTGAAAGATAGCACAGAGGCACTAATCATGGCAGCACAGGAAGAAGGTCTGAGCGCAAGATCCATAGAGGCTGGGGTCTATCACACCAGGCAAGAAGCCGGATGCAGGCTGTGTAAAGATGCACCTGAGACAATCCAGCACATAACAGCAGGGTGCAAGATGCTAGCAAACGGGGAACACCATAACCAAGTGGCCTGCATAGTATACAGAAACATCTGTGCCAAGTATGGCCTGGAAGTCCCGAGGTCAAAATGGGAGACACCCCCAAGGGTGGTCAAGAAGATCACCCAAGCTAAGATCCTGTGGGACTTCCAAATACAGACAGACAAAATGGTGATGGCTAACCAACCGCATATAGTGGTGGTAGACAAGCGGAGGTTGACGGCCATAACAATAGACGTAGCGATACCGAATGACAGCAACATCAGGAAGAAGGAACTCGAGAAACTGGATAAGTACCAAGGGCTCAGAGAAGAGCTCAAGAAGATGTGGAGGGTGAAGGTAACAGTGGTGACAATGATAATCGGAGTGTTCAGTGTGGTGACCCCCAAGCTAGACGACTGGTTCCAGCAGATCCCAGGATAGCACAATGACCCAATATTAAATATCTGTGAGAAGGGAAAAGTCTGTTTTTAGTGAATGTTAGTTTTCAGGGGTTGCCTTTTTTTTTTTTTAAAGAAGAGGGATCTATAGGATACCTAAGTCTATCATTGGGAGAATATAAAATAATCCATGTCATGACTGGAAGGTCAAAGTACTGTTCTCAAGTCACTGCTGCTGTCTGCAATTTGCTAAAGATATTGATGAAAAGCCAGAAAGCTGTTTGAAAGGGAGTGTCATGTTTGGAGAATGGAAAAACTGTACCTTATCTGTTGAAAGCAGATATATGGTAATGGATGTATATCAACTCCACTATTTTCACTTAGTTTAATCAGCTTTTCTTTTCCTGCTTTGCTTAATTTTGAGACAATTGCAATGTTTATGCAGAAATAAAAAACATTTCAAAGGTTTCACAATTTTTTCCTGCAACTGTTGACGTCGCACAAACTCACATGTATCTTTAAGATGGGAAGACTATTTTTTTTTCTGTCCTGTTGGGAACTATAGGTCTACCTTGCAGACTATGGGCTGTCCTTCAGATACTGCCCTGATGGAGTCCACAAAGAATACAAGGAAAACCCCAAGAAGGGCCATAATGGAACCATCGAATACACCAGCATCGATGCCCACAAAGGACTCGGTAAGCACTTGACTTTTTAAATAGTTAAACATAACAGAAAATAAAAACCTGTCTAAATGTTCAAATTTTATGTCAGGATGTTAATGGTTGGTTTACGTGCCTCGTAAATTACACACAATGGAATATATGACCCACAAAACTTGTTTGTAGGTAAGCTAAATAAACTTTCACCATACATTTGCACAGTCCATTTGCCTCCATACATCTTTGTTTTGGTCAGTAACTTTTATGGAGTACAACATTCAAAGGGGCTCATTCTGTCTCGTTAAGTGCTCAGTTCACTTAACAGTCAGCAGTCCTGTGCAAATTGAATTCTCAACCATTTTCCACACATCTTTGCTTGATGATCTTCAACTTAAGTCCAGATTCTAATTATTACTGGCCTACTTAAATGGAAATTGGATAAATAAGATACCACCAGGTACTTAAATTGCTATAAGAAGACACCCCTGCTTATTACAGGGGCAATTGTGTCAGTATTAATTAAAGTGGTCCGCACTTGCACACCTACAGCAAAGTTTTTGAAGCTTATGATGATTCGAAACAATCTTCATCACTTTGCCAATTGCCGTGTAATGTCCTGTGAATTGTTTCCACAGCAGGGCCAAAGCCCTGAGAAGATTAAGCAAATTAGTCCACTGATGCATCAAAAGTCTGATGCTCCAAATTCCTATTGTATCTGATTCTCTGCAAACATGGGCAACAAATCCTGGACTTGTCTGTCTGCTGGCGGCCTCACACTGGCTATTGCTGCACACAAACTACAAACAAAGAAATGTTGCGGTCTCTCTGAAAATGCCTGTGGAATAATAATGCTTAAAACACATTGCTTGCTTGACCAACGAACAACATTCTGATCAGGGACTTCTTATAGAGGCTAAAACGATCATACCTGAATGCCACCCTCATTTCTGTGATGGAAACATAGTTAAACATGAACAAAGTTGCATTATTGAAAATTAGATTGAGCTACTTAATGTGTTAGTAAAAAATACTCTTAGTTAGGGAGGGTTCTGACATATTAGCAGATGTAGCGTTCGTCTGCTAATATGTAGATGAATGCTACATATCAGCATTTCTCTAGATTACATCATTGATATCATATTTTAGTGCTCCTGAAACTGATTAAAAAAAACTGATTACAAATGTATTGTGTTTTTACTGGCCACAGTGTATTATTATTATTATTATTGTTATTATTATTATTATTAGTAGTAGTAGTAGTCACATTATTTGTGTTGTTGTTGTTGTTATTATTATTAGATGTATTTTTTCATTAAAATAATGAGGAAAGTTTCCATGATACTGAGAGTAAAATGAACAAAGACTGAAAAATGCCCCCTCCCGCATTTTAACTTTCAGATATGGTCTTCTAATGCAAACTACCAGAACAGAGACATTAACTTGAGTATGTCAGATTTTACAACTTATAATGAAAGGTGTTCAAAATTCACAAAGTGCTTTACGTTATCTTTACTAAGGCTACTATAATGTCTATTCTTTCCGTCTTTATCAATAGATGTAAAGTAGTGTCCACTTCAGCACCGTCTGCCTTCCTTGCTGGTATTGGGAACACATTAACTGGCAAATTGCCTACCTGCTCCCTTTCCTCATTGACCATCGATTCTCCATCTGCGGCCCCTGCTGAATTCCCCAGCACCATCTCTGTTTAACAATTCCCTAATTAGCTAAAGTCATAACCTGCATCGTGTTTTCATCCCCCCATTAATTAAGGGCTTTGATGTTTGGTTAGAGCAATTCACAGATAACCCCTGTGAGCTCCACACCGACCAACTCCACTACCCACCGGTTCAATATTGTGAGTTAGCATGGCTCAGACTGCCTAATCTCCATGGGAGAGTTTCTATCAGCATAATCGATAATTGAAAGAGGTTCAGATTGTGTCCTGTCAGCAAAAACTATCACATGAAAAGCATGTCAACTGTAAAATGTTTAGAAGAGGGAAAAGAAGGAGCAGCAGAAAGAAAGATACTGGGTTTTTTTTCCACATTTTTTTTTTCTTTTAGTTGGTATCTAGCAAGCAAATTACTTATTAACTTTCTTGATAATATTTTGTCTTTAAGCTTTTCTTTTTTTTTTTTTTTTTTTTTAATCAAGACACAGTTTAACACACATTCTAGTTTGGTACTTACAAACTTTTCCAGGTACTTAATTGTTAGAAAAAAAATCCAAAGAATAATTAACTGGTCACATATCAGGACCGGAGACTGTAAAGAAAAGCTAGATATAGAGACGGTTAATTGATTTCTTGACTCGTGCATCTCACCTGTTAATCTAAATAAGATGTCTTGAGTTTTCAGCAAGTGCTAGCAAGCTTGGTTACTAAGCTGCGTTAATGAACTGTACAGGTTCATTATGGTTTTCAAAATCATTTAAAAGCTCTCCTCCACTCAATTTACCAGTCGATCTACGTCCCTACCCTCACCTATGGTCACGAGCTGTGGGTAGTGACCGAAAGAACGAGATCGCAAATACAAGCGGATGTAGGGTTGTACATTTCTGGTAGCTTTATTTTGCAGTCAATTGCTACTGTGAAGGTGGACTCCAAAATCATGTCCAAAATACGAAAACGGAAAGATTACGTTTAGTTACAAAGAGCAGAGGGTGGGAATACTCACCATTGCTGTGTCATTAAAAAATCTAATGATCAATTTTGA